ATTAATGATTTGTTGAAAAATTTATTACGCGAAATGTTGATTTTTTAAATTTTATAAAAGATAGTTATTGGGTTGGTGATTGAGAACGTCCTTAAGATAAATAGCTGTAATATATAGTTGATTAATAAAAAATATATATACTATCAAAACTGAATATGTATGAACGATATGTTTGCGATTCAAAACATGATATTTTTTAAAGTATTATTTATTCTGTGACCTATATATTGACCAATAAAATTGACGAATTTAACCTTTATTACACAGTAAAATAATGTACTATATACATTGAAACATGATCGCACAATTAGAAAAAAAATCCAACTCCCATCTATCTTCTAAAATAACCACAATCTTAAATGCAATTACTAAATAACCCTAATCTTTAACCCAAATTCTTATAACGATTAATATCGGCGTTTTATTTAAATCTTAAGGGCATTCCATAAGAGCATAAAATAAATGCCTTATGTTCATCCTCTTCAACTCCAATCTCTCGTCATAACAGCATCCAACTTTATATGTTCTCCATATTTGCAAAATTTTGATTACAAACGAATGCCTTACGTTCATCCTTTCAACTCCAATTCCCATGATAACATCCAGCGTTATATGTTCTATTATTGTGTTACTATTGTACCGTTACGGGTCTGTGTCGCAAGAAAGAAAATTTTCAAGCATATACATGTTCCGCATTTACAATAAGCGGTTTAAAAATCTAAAAAAACTCATGTTTAGTTAATAGAGATCTCGTGTTTTGCAAGGGGGGTACGCAAAAAGGGGGTACATTAGTCAGTGCACTACGGTAGTACTTACAAGGTTTCTATAAATAATAGTATTATCATGTAAAATAGCATGTCCGATGACTGGTAGATATGGAGATGAACCATGATCCTAATCTTGCAGTACATTAGGGTTTCCCATAATTGAATTACCATTATCATATAGATACCATTGCCGAGACGTATCAGGTAAATATGAAGTATTATTGAAATTGTTTGCTTAAGAGTGAGTAGGTCTCCACTGAGATTGATGGACCATGAGTGCTATTTCTTATAAATGCGTAGCTTATCTGTTGTCCATTGTAATCTTGTAAAAATTACTTACAGGTATTCTTGCATTTTCATCATTAGCATATTATAATGCCCACGCTATTACCTTATTTGTGTTAAATAAATACTTTTATTTAGTGTGATGATTATTTGATGCTCTCAAAAATTATAAATTGCTTGATTACCTTTCGTGATCCAATAGAATCCAATGTATAAAATCTTAAAGCTATTAGACGGATCTAAAATGTTACAAATAAGAAGACTTGTTATTTTATTATTATTATTATTAAAACATTCAACAATCCAAAAATTTAGTATAATACTATAGTTTCAAATTTCTATCAATAAATTGTGTTACAATTTATTATGATCTAAATCTATTATTAAAGCATATCGCTTATACACTATATCTCTAATGATAAAACAACAAAATGTAATTATCTATTAAGCTGTTGAAAAGGTACCCAAGGTAATATAAATCTATAATTTTTTTGAATTAATTCATTTGAATTCTTATTTGAATTAGCCTTTTGAACTTGTGGTAGATTTGATTCTTGAGATACGGCAGGTCTAATAAAATAAACAAATATATTAGAAAAAAAATAATAAATTCTTTAATACTACAGAAAGATCATTTGTTAACTTAATCCTTACTGCTGAGCAAATTCTCCTGAATCTGCTGTGAATTTACAGGTAACGGTACCACATTGAAAAATATATTCATTCTCCTTTAATTCTGTTTGCGTTCAACTAAAGTTAACACCATATGAATTCTCATTATCCATAAATAAAACATAACCTATGGTTTTTAATTTTGGATCTTGTCGCACGTTCCAATTATCATAATTGACTAGTTGTTTCAATCTTTGTTCACCAGCCTCACCCTGAAAAAAACAAGAATATTTTTGTTGCACAGGACTATATCGGAAAGAAGGTTCATTTTCAAAAAGAAAAATGAATATATTTTCTGAAAAAGCATGAATTGAAACTTGTTTTGCGCCTATTGAATGCCTATTAAAGCCAAGACATTTTTTAACAAGAACTATAAATGCATCTTGGTAAAACGTGATTTGTTCAAGAAGCGGTTGAATAAGTAAATTGCAATGAGGTATGATTTTGTTATTTCGATGCTTAATTCTTTTATGAGTCACAAGCTTTTTTCGAGAAGAAAAAATCTCCTGACAAAGTTGGCATTTACTAGCCATTGCACAATTGTGAATTTTAACGATATCTTTTTATTTTTTTTGTTATCGATTTTAAATTCTTGTGATATAATCGAATAAAATCATATGATCATCATATGTGACAAAATCGAATTATGTGATATAACGAATGGAAATAAATCCACCCATATGTAAAGATATGCCACTTTTTGATATAATTTTGTTTGTTTTTATTTGTAAATATATTATTCTGATTTTTCATTACTATATATTATTAACAGAAAAAAATACGTGGCTAAATTTTTTTATTATGTGTCTTTCGTCACTGGTTCTGCTATACAAACCAATATGTGACACCATATACTTGTGCTCTGTCTTACAAATAAATTAAGCATAAGCCTTGTAAGGCCATGACCCTGCAGAAATTCTTTAGTATAAATTGCACAAATTATATGTCTATGATATTCATATATTTCGCAAGTGATTTTTGAAACAATCACTCAAATAAAACCTCATAAGAAAATATGAAATTTGATCTTTTAACAAGTATACACAAAAAATATGTAATTTCTAAAATAATCAATGCCTACTATTAAAACAAATTTTTTATTAATTTTGGTGGCTTAACATATTTTAGCTATTCTGGTTTCACTGACCGATCGGTCAACCAAAGTCACGTGATTTTGGCACAGTAAAGACGATTTCATTCAAACTCCTCTTCTATAGCATCAATTTCGTCCCAACTTAATTTAGAAATTCTCAATGCCAAATAAGATCTTACCCGTTATATTTTATTCTTACCTATGCTACTAAAAAGGTTATAAATTTTCCTTGCTCTTTCTATTCTTTTCTCAATTGCATTTTTTGAGAGGTTAGATGAGAGCTGTTTTTCAACTTCTTTATAAAGTTTTCTCTGAGATCTACGCTCTTTATTATCTTTCATATACTCGGCTAACCTTTCCTTAAGCTTTTTTCTAAAAGCAAAATAGCATATAATAATTTCTTGATTCACACTTTTAATTTATTCTTTAGCCTTAACAATTGTACTATATAAATCAGAAAAATTACTTGGGCTTGTGATAGATTCAGCCTGAGAAGTGGTACTACTTGTTGAAGAACTTGGCGATTTCAGCCCCTCAATAAGTTTTTTTAATATAGATACATTTCTGTCTTTAGTCTTTACTTTTTTACTAGATAATTTATTTTCAGGGGTATCTTTACTAGGTCTTTTACGAGATTCTTTTTCTAAAGGGATAATGCTTTGGTCTGTTGGACGATTACCTTTACCATCTTCATTATCATCTACATCCGACATATCTTCTTCTATAATTTCTAGCAAATCTTGAGATTGGATACTATGTTTTTCCATCCTTCTAACTACTGATGATGTACTTGATTCAGAGCCCCTTCTATGCCCTGTTTCAATAATTTCAATCTCCTCACTACAACCAGAAAATGGACACGTATTTGGAATTGTAAGTAAAAGTTTTTTTTTAATACAAAGTCTATGAAATACATGTCCACAAGATAGTGTTGTAAATGCCTTAAGAGGATACGAAATAATTTCTTTCCCACATTCTGAACAATTACTTAGATTTGGAATTTTTTTACCCTTAACAATACTATTCTTTAGAGTTTTTAAAATACTATATGCAAGATTTTTGATATTATTAATGGGAGTAGATGGTGCAGAAGTAGAAGTGGTAGACATATTTTAATTATAACCAGATAAGTTTTACATAACGAAATCTCCTATACTTTGCTTATTTTTATAGTTTATTCTTCACGACTAACAAACCTAATTTGCAGATTTTATGAAATCTCATTTCGAATTTGGCGATCGGGTTCATTCATAAATTATTTAGTATGGGGATTGCTCGATCTTTGCTAGCAATCATGGATATTTTTAGCTAAAAAATAATTGAGATGTATAAAGAATATAAATCTGTCACAAAAAATATATTGGCCTACGGAAGATGAGTATAATTACACACATCCTTCTCCTTCTTGTCATGGCTTGGATATAGATAATAGACTTGAAAATATTTCTTCTGAAATCAAAGACATTATTGAATATCTTGAGATGATAAAGAATTATATACCATCTATGTTATATAACGAGTTTCGCAAAGACATTGATAACCTTACAAATAATTATAAGTCCTTAGAAGATAAAATTCAGGATATATTATATGAATCACCTTCTTATGCTAAAGAATAAAAAAGCAAATGGTAAAGTCGACTTGCAATCCCTACAATAAGAAATGAAAATTCTATATCTTAAAATAAAAGTTATAAAATTCTGGTTGTTCAGTTTTTAGTTTTTTAAGATCTTCAGCACCATTTTCAAATATATTTTCAATTATATTTATTACTTTTGCTTTTAATTTAATATACTTAGCTTTGCGTTCTGACTCTAATACCTATAGTCTTCCTACCAGTTCATTTAATAAAATTCCTGATTCAAATTTTTCAGCTTCCAAATAATTCTCAGGAGATAATCCGTTAATAAATATTTCTCTGACCTGTTTTTCACTATCACTAGTACTAGCTTTTACTTTCATATAAAAATCTATTACTGAATCATTATCTTGTTTAACCATATCTATAAACTTTCGAATTAGATATTTATTATATTAGAAAAAAAAAATTATTATAAGAAATATTATCTTTGTCTCGGTTCATTGAGTGGGCTAGACTTGATGATTCTTATTACATTTCAAACAAGTAAGACGCATATTTCCTTCTATATGACCCAGTTTGTTATCGATTCTATCTGCTATCCATTGATCTAGATCTCCTGCATCATCCCAGTCTTATTTCATTTCTATATTACAAGATGCACATATATCTTTTTGCAAATCTTTTAACTTAAGAATATAGTCAACAGATAGATTGAATTTACAGTCTTTTTTCTTATCTTAATCCATATATCCTACGAGTTTTCCAGAAATAAATAGTCTTAAGGATTGCTCAATTGCTTTCTTATTTTTTGCTTCCTCAATCTCAGAAGGTAATGAGGGACCTTCAATTCACACAAGTTGATTCAAATATTCTACACAACCTACTGCAAGATATATTAGATTATCCTATACCAAATATTCATCAATAATCCAAAATCGTTGCGGAGCTTCAAGTGTCATCCCTTGACTAGTATGTATAGTCATAGTATACCCCAAATCCCAATCAAGTATTTTTTTCTCTATTAATATATCTGCTAAGAATTTTTTAGAAAGTGTGTTCAAAAATAAATATACTATATCATTTTTTACTAATTCTTGTTTATCAAATGAACCAGAGATTTCAACAAGACAGTTTTGTTTGCGTCCATCTCTTGGCCAGTAGATTAACGAACCGGTAGATCTGAATATTTAATATGATGAAGTTCAAAGCATTTTTGCAATGCAATTCTTTGAGATAGGCGATGTGCCGATAATATACGATCTGAAGGAGTCCATTCTTTTTCGAGACATTCCCATTTTTCTATAGTTAGGAGAATTCCTCAAAATAATTTTAATTGTATTTAATTATTTTTGCGACGCATGCCTTTTTTGAGTTCACGTAACTTGGAGCATTTTGCTCGATAATCAGTTGAAACTTCCTCGTAATAATCGGTGCGCTCTTTTAACTAATTATGTGGTATTTCTCCAAAGAATGGTAGAGGTTGTGCATCGTCCCCGCAACAGATTATCTGGCATTTATGTTTTAACAAATAATTAATAAACATTTCAAGAATATGCTTAGAAACTGTACATACCTCATCCCAAATAACAACTCGTAGAAATTTCTTCTCTCCTATGTGTTCAGGTATCCATTCTCCTATACCATTCCATCTAAAGAAACTATGCCAGGTTTGGGCTCTCACACTATGCTTATCTCAAAAATCTTTAGCTAATGTATTCGTATGTGTAAAGACAATCATACTTACACTTTGATAGACTTGAATTCCATGTGTTGTTTTACCAGATCCACCTCCTCCATTAAGATATGAATTTCAATATCTTGTAATAGGATCATGAATTGAGAGTGCTGTACTATCAGGAATATCTTTGATAGATTTACAATGCCTATTCTTTGGCCAGTATACAATATTGGTAACTGGTCCATATATTTTTTCACCTTTGTCACGCTATTGACCGGTTTGAATTTTTCAGATTTCTTGTTCTTCTGGTTGATATGAAAGAGCATAGGAGTCTGGTCTATAAAACCATTCTGCAAAGCAAAATCTGCAAATAAATGGTTTATATCTTTTACAG